TATATATATATTTGTATAGATGTTTGTATATATATGTGTATGTTTTTTATTTTGTATATATATTTATATTTTTATTTGTATATAGATATGAATATATATGTAGGGGTATATATATATTTTTTAAATAGGAGTATATATATTTTTATATAGGAGCATATATATATTTTTTAAATTTTTTTGATTTTTTTCAGATTTTTTCGGATTTTTTTTAAATCTGACGTGGCATGCTGACATGGCAAAATTTCCATGTGGCATGCCATGTCAGACACCACGTGGCATGCCATGTCATCAGTTAACGAACATTTAACACCCAATTCGGATTGTGTAGAAAATTGCAGTTAAATTGGGTAGTTCGTGTATCAATTTGGCACATTTGATAATTTGGTGTAGTTTTTTGTCAAATTAAAAATTCGTGTAGGAAAAAGTCACATTTTAAACCGTCCGTGTAGGAAAATGTCATTTTCCCTTACTTTTACCAAAACCTCACAATATTCTTATAGAAAAGCACGCGGACTTGAGAAATGCCTGTAGGCGGGAAGAATGGTCTCGCAAAGGAGACTCATAAGCCCAACCAAGAAAGCTAAAGACAACTACTAAAAGTTTATGTTTCAGAAAAGTATACCAACCAATTGCAAAACGGAATAGTAATATTATTATCCGAGTACCGGTTTCCAGCATATGGAGGAGACATTGATGAATTTCTAGTGGTTACTCATTTAAAAAATAAGCCTATTGCGTCTTAGGTTTCAGAACTCAAAAGCATGAATAAAGCAGATGAAGATGGCAATGACAGAACGCAAAATCATATATATAAGGGAAGTAAGAAGGTACCAGTTCTAGAGAATACACGCTTCCGTTTCTTGAACATACAAGCACCTGCAGCAAAACATTATGAAGAAATGCACTGTGAGAGAAATTCCTACCCAAAACAGATGGAAAATTAGAATTAGAAAGTCAAAGCTTTCTCCAGTTGCAGAATCGGTGCAACATTTGGGATAGCACGGAAAATGATACAAATGAACTAGAACAGATTAAAGGAAGAAAAATATGTTAATTGTTAAAGGCAGAATCACGGAGTACCTGAGAAGGAAGCACATGCGACATGCAAGGCCCTGCAAATATTGGCCCACCAGTGTTGTACTGCATTTAGGTGGTAAACAGATTAAACACTATAACATGACCAAAACAAAGTGACAGGACCTAAAGATGTGGAAACCAGTTTTATCAGACAATGAATGATCAGCATCCAACCGGCAGACAGCAACTTCCAGATAACAGAAACACCCGCTAACTAAATGTTTTGTATGACACATGCATTGATACCAATTTATATACATACCCTCCAAGTAATAGTTCCAGATGGATTCAAGGCAACAACTTGGCCATCAACCAAGCAGCAAATAACTGTCATGGAAAACAACGCTCGACAAATGGAGATAACATGAAAACAGTAAAGAAAACATAAAGAATGACTGAAGCTAATAAAAAAATTGGAAAGGCTAACGAAATGAATACCATTTCGATTTGTTGAACTGATGGATAGGGAGCCAAATATTGGTGCTTCTAATTCAAGCAGCCAAAGGGTATGGAATGGGAATTCCTGCATTTACAGATTTAATCAAGATAAATGAGGCTCCACTAATATATATATATATATATATATAACGAAAAATTCGGCTTTTCAATTCTTACCATGGATTTGCTGCTCGACCCACAAGTGATTTTAAGCTTACAGTTTTAACCACTACAAGATACCGTCCGAATAAAATCACGAATACAATATATATATATATGTATATATATTCGAATTCGCACTTATTTTAAATATTTGCGCGTATCGATCGGTTGATTAGACGCCACTAGAATCCAATATACTTTACACTAATATAGAAGAAGCATATGAAAATAAAAGATGCAAGGTCGTTTTTTGGTATAAGGTGCTATTCATAGAGAACATCCAAAAATATTAATCGATGAATCTCTGTAGATAAACATATGAATAGCATATAATTATTAATATGCCACCTGTATTTTTTTTTTTGGCTACGTGACGTTTCAAACGTTTTTTGTGATGTTTGAAATGATCAAAGAAAGAAATCTAGAGACGATATTGGTTTTGTATTTTTAATTTGATCAAAATATTCCAGACGAAGATATCAGATTTATAATAAATCGTAAATGCAGACGGTTTTAAGCGTATAACCCCGATTGTCTCATTTAAATATCTCTGTCCAATATGGTAGCCAAGGTGCATCACACATTTATGACCCAAATGTTCAGCAGACAATTCTCTAGACAGATAGCTAAACATTCTAGTTGACATAAGCAATAGTATATGATCAATTGAAGCACAGGATTCTGAAATAGGAAAACCAAAAGGGACTAATGTTCTCATACTCTTATTGAAACAGCTGTCACACGGCCACTTGTAGATGCAACATAAAGTGTGCCATGATCCTGCGTGAAGCATCAGACGTCACATCAAGTGGTATCTGGAAAACTCCATTGTTTCAGAAAATTTAGAGAGTTGAATTATCAAAACAGCCAGTACCGTACCATATGTCACGATATTAAAAATTACACCAGCATCTATGTATAAGTAAGTCAACAAACTAGTTTCAGCCTTAACCTTGTCAACCACAGGTGAACCAAATATGCTTCCACCACATTGAAGTTTATAAACACAGCGTTGGCTCCTATAGTCAAGGGCATAAAGATTATGGTCATGTGATCCGCACCTGCAGGAATCGTGTGATATGTATAATTAAGTTCCATAGTTGAAGACTGCGAAGATAACTTGGAAGTAAACCGTGTCTACCACTCAAGAAGCCAGGGCAAAGCTACCAATTCAGGATATTGTCTTTTTCCCATCTACAATCCTTCTCTCAGACAAAAAGTTAACGATACATGTCAATGGTTATGGAAAACTACAGGAGCTGATTCCTGATGCCTTTCTTCAACCTCCTGATTTGACTTTTGTAGTCATCTTGACTCTTAGGAATTTAATTGATCAATGATAAGAAACAAATATAGTTTTTATCTGTTCAAGATAGAGATGGCAATAATCTTCTTAAAACTATGCTTGAACAGCTAGCTTAAACTTAAACATAAATATTCATCAAGAGTATTACCATATCAGCTGCCAAAATGAATCCACAACAGGTTGGCATTTCACCTTCAAAATGTTTGTAAAATACAAACGAGTTATTGACATAGCACACCACCTGAAAAAACAATTCTACCAATGGAAAGAGAGATGGTCCAACAAATTAAACGTTTAACAATTTGAACAGACT